ACATAGGCCTCTCCTTAGAAAGGAGGTTTTGGCCTACTATACCACGCTGGCCAGACGGATTGGTATAGGGTTTGTGTCAAATTTTCCTTCTCTCTGCAGTGCTGTTGTCCTGCGTGGTTTGCTCCCTTAGTCGCCTCTTACGACACCCATGGGATGAATAGGGGTGGTGACACTCTGTATTCTTAATCCGTCACCACACGGACCTGGTGTTTCTATGTATGAGATGTGAGATGATTTACAAAAAAAATATGTATTTATATCAGTTGTCTAGTAATATGGCTACTAGACAACTGATACACTACTATACTAGTACAAGCTCTGCTTAGTTTGGAACTAGATGGCATTGTGTGAATGTGGTACAATATTATTAGTATTATTATAATGCAGATCCTATACAAAGTAAATTTTATTTTTATTGATTAGTTATTGTACACCAAAGCACTTTCAAACTATTCTTCTTCTTCCTAAACACTTACATAGGTACTTCACATCAATAAGATTAAGAACCGATTAAATATATAAAACGTGTCCGAGTAATCGATAGTAAATGGTTAAGATGAAACTTCTGTATAAAATATTAAAACTTAAATTTTGTAGGTTAACTCCTAATCACAAATTAAAAATACGTTAGTGTACCGGCACCAGGAGAGCGGATGCTACGTTACGAGGAGCAATGGCACCTTTAAATTAGAAGGAACATAGAACTGCCGGACTGGCAGTACGTAGGTACAGAAATCTCTGAAAAGAAGAAGTTTGTCAAATTTCTTTCTATTCTTCTTGAAAACGAAATTTAGGAATTGATACCTATTGTATCTTTTTATTACTTTCTTTCATCGTCACTCAGTCAGTCTTACAAAATATCAAAAAGTTCCTACGTTAGTTAGGGTCCAACCGAAACAGGTTTTTCAGCCGAAACCGAACTTTCGGCCCTTGTTTCAGATACGGCCAAGACCGAAACCGAAACTCTAATTATCATTTTAAAATTTCGACTGTTTAAATCTAGTGTATTTTTTTGTCCTTTGCACATACAACCTAAAATCACTGTAATAAACACGGCACACGGCATCAATTCTAAACACGAGAAAATGTGTTTAGGTACGTAGATAAAAAAAAAGCTGCCTCACGCGGTAATAAGGTAATTTGTACGGATTTTACACGTTTTCCTCATAGTTAAAGTTAAGCAACTGAAGTTTACATGTAGTATTCGTTTTTAGGATGGTCAAAATAGGGAAAACATTTTGTACCCCAAATGTTGTGTAGAAACGGGTGCATGTCCCTCCAACACAAGGGGGAATCCTTCGACCAGGCGAGGTGAATATGCCTGCAGGGATCCGCCTCACGGTTGATTTTGGGAAGTTCTATATATGTTTTAATTAGTAAGTAATTCTTCATATCGCGATACAGTAGTTACTCTGTAGTTCGGTGTGTCTTATTTGGTTGCCCCTGTAGTATGTTTCTGTTTCCTTGTATGTGGGAGTCGCCATAATGTAATTGAACAATAATAAACCATCTACAAACAAATAAATCTAAGAATCATATTTACAAAATGATACTCAAAACTCCAGAAACGCATGAGGTTAGTTTTCGCCTTATATAACTACGCTCAAGCGTTTCTTGAGTTTTGAGAATCGTTCTATAATAATACCGCCTAAGTAACATAATATCTTTGATGTGTTACTAATATTTATTTATTTATTTATTTATTTAATTCACCAACAGTTATATACAATAATTCATTACAGGGGATACAAAATTATTCGCTTAAAACTAATTGCATAACTAATAACAGATGAATACAACATGCACAATAATATCATCTCTAAAATTACATAATATTAAGTAATTATATAGTTCAGTTACAATGATAATTGTTATTATATTCACAATTATGTTGATTATTTACAAATTCAATCAAAATTCCAAAGTATCAACATATTACAATACATCGAGTTATAATAATAAAATTAAAAACAATAAAAATAACAATTAAATCAGTGTTCAATAGAATGTAAGCTGTAAGTTAAAAATGTAATGAGAGAGAGAAAAAAAAAAAACAAACAAGAAATATTTAGAGCATTAGGAGGCATTAATTGGGTTGGTGGCTAATTGGGTAAGTTTTCACACAATACTCTGCGATATTTATGACATTTGATCTCAAAAACGTCAATTGAGTCCGTGCAATATTCATTTAGAGCTCTGCACATTCTGGGAACTGGTGAATTATATCCCAAAACTGTGCTTCTAAATGGCTGTGCCATTATGGCCATTGGTTTACGCGGAAGACGCCTGGGAGCGTTAAACTTCAACCTTTCGAGCAGCACTGAGCAATCCAGATGGTTGTGCAACAACTTGTAAAAGAAATTCAGATCCAAAAGTGTTCTTCTCTTTTCAAGCGACGGTACCTTGAAGAATGACAGTCTCTCTTCATACCTCTTACTAGTTCTGGCGATTCCGACGGTGAATGCCAAATGCCACATGAAACGCTTCTGAATTCTTTCTAACCTCAAAATATGAGTGGAATAATGGGGTCTCCAAACGGTGGGGCAGTATTCGAGTATACTACGAACCAAAGTGTTGAATAAGAGTATTTTAGTTTGAGGCCTTCGGAACACCCTAGCATTTCTTATGACAAACCCCAGCATTTTGGATGCTTTCATAATGATATGGTCCAAATGAGGTTGAAAAGTGAGCTTTCTATCAAAAAATATTCCCAAGTCCTTTATTGTATCAACTTCTTGTATTGGTATACCTTCTATAAAATACTCAGATTCAACAAGCTTCAGCTTGCGGCTGAACTTAATGTGGTAACATTTGCCAGTATTGAGGTGCATCTGGTTGTTGCTACACCACTGGCTTATGTGTTCTACGTCCTGTTGTAAAAGAGCTACGTCGTGAATACTATTTATAGTTCGTGAGATTTTTAGATCATCAGCGTACATGTATGGTTCAGAGTGCAAGAGGCAGCCGGGTAGGTCATTGATAAAAATGTTAAAAAGGATGGGTCCAAGATGCGATCCCTGTGGTACACCAGAAAAGGTGGGAAAAGATTTTGACCTAAAGCCATTCACCACTACATAGGAAAAACGATTAATGAGATAAGAATGAATCCATTCACAAAGATTGCCAGTAAATCCATACACAGATAGCTTCCTCATTAGTATAGTGTGAGGTACTTTATCGAACGCCCTGCTGAAGTCTGTATAAATAACATCTACCTGCTGGTGATGGTCAATTGCCTCAGCTAGGCGTTCAACAAACGTAACCAAGTTCGTCGAAGTAGATCTTGCCTTGACAAATCCGTGTTGATGTTTGGATAGGTATGGACTAAAATAGTTTTGAATGCAAGGACAAACAATAGATTCAAACACCTTTGCCATCGTGGAAATGATCGAAATTGGTCGATAGTTATTCACGTTGTCCTTGCAACCCGATTTATGAAGGGGTACGATTTTAGCAAATTTCCACTCATCTGGAAATATTCCAGAAGAAATCGATGTGGTAAAAATGATGTGCAATGGCGTTGTTAATTGAGATGCACAATTTCTTACGAAAATTGGCGGGATGCCATCTGGCCCTGCACCTTTAGCTGTATCCAGATACTTCAACTTTCTTAATATCGTTATCCGGTCTATAACCAGGGAGCTAAAACTTGAGCTAAATTTGTCTGTGTACCTTAGACCACTGGACAACGTGAATTTATCATCTGAAGTCGCACTATCGTAGGCCTGCGAGAACATTGAAGCAAATAGATTACATATCCCATCGCCATCTGAACTGACCGAGATTCCATCAGTCATTAAGCCAGGATAAAAACTTTTTTCGTCTCTTTTAGCCTTCACGAAAGACCAGAAGTTTTTAGCATTTTTGGATATATAAATAAAACTCAACAAAACGAAGCCCTATACCTAAAAATCGCCTTTGAGATAAAACAATGTTAGTTACAAGCAAAAAGAAAACAATTACAAAAATTTTAATGTGTAAAACACAGCTAATAATATGAGTTAGTCTTGGAAAAGCCATGCCTGGTGATTCTTAAGCTGCGGGTGTCCATGGGCGGTAGTAGTCACTTACCATCATTCGACCATCATCATCATGTCTGCTAGCTTGCCCCCAAACACCATAAAAAGATCACACTGGACGGCGGCGAACTGAGCCAGAACCGATGTCCACTAGTTAGCCGCGAAGTTAACCGAACGGCGCAGAACCCATTACGAACACTGAGTTTCGGCTAATTTTCTGACCGAAAATCGAACCGAAAGTAGATTTTTTTGCCGAAACTGGTCGAAACCGAAACTTCGGTCGGCCACTAACAATAGTTGTCTGTATAAACTCAGATTTAGAACACACCGCATAACTAACTTATTGTACCTATGCCTAAGTGGTAAATACTTAACTAATATTTGTCAAACATCTATAAAAGATAAAGTTTATAATCACAAAATCACAGAGTGTAACAAAATGATCGACTGTAATAAGTAGCTATTAAATACCTAATTCTCTATTTACCTATCAACAGCCTACCCACGTTGAAGGGTATAAAGATAAAGTAGGCGTCTAAAACAGTAGGCATAAATCGACCCACGCTCGGCATCTCGACATACCTACAAGTTTCAATACCTACTAGGATTTGCTAACTTTATTTCCGAACTAAACTAACAGCCCATTCATAGCCATCCATTCACAACACGCGCAGTTACCCGCCAAAACTATCAGTGTTGCCAAATAACAAGCCGAATGGCTCTAAACAAACTCTCAACATTAGCGATCATTATAATTTTATTTAGCCTCTGGCGAAACTGAGGAGTAAGCTCCAAGATAAAAAAAGAACCCTTCCGCAAAGAATTTAGGAGTGCCCAAGACTGGGACTGAATCCGACTTGCTCGTTATAAATTTTGTGTAAGATAACAATGCGTGCGTGTGGGTGTGTGGTACAGTCGCTGACGAGTATAGTTACGGCACGCAATAACGCTAACAAGCGTGCGAGTGAGCAAACGATAGCGATGTATAGCGTTATCGCGCTTCCACCACCGACAACATGGCGCGCTGACTCGGGCGCAGGCTCGAATCGTATCGCCTGCCCACTCAAGGTTCGCTGACTGCCGTTCTTTTGTTTTTAATGTTGCCATGTTGAAATTTTTCCCCGTTCCCCGAGTAGATTTTCTTTCTTAATTTTTTGAAATGATGTTTTCTTTATTTTTAATGTTTTCATCTCAGATGTAACTTGATGTAAAAAAATGTTCATAATTTTTTTCATAGTTATTGAAACGAAGTTTCACGCTCTGAGCGGATGGGAGCGAGACCGAAAAATGTGTAACTATACTTTTTTCCCACACTATAGTAAACGTCTACCAAAAAGCAAAAGGAACTTCTTACCGATCGGGGGTCCATAGACCCCTCACGCCGTTAAGTAGTTTTACTAGGAAAATATACAAAACGGCAATTTACAATCTGTACCATCTACTTTCTGATTTAAATCTAGGTACTCATATTGTCTACTTATATATAAATGTTCGTTACACTGTTATCGAATACCACAAAATTTCCACAATGACTACTTGGAAATATTTATTACATGTAAACAGTTGAAAAATCTACACCATTAATTAAACGTAACTCTTCAATTAATATAAATAAATGCATAACTATTTCAAATTACAGAAATTCTGTTTCCACTTTTTCATATTTGTTGCAACATTAATTTTATAATATAGGATAAATAAGCGTTGATGAAAAGAATTTTAATTATAATACCAAAATTATTGTCACACCTCATGACAATGTTTATTTCATCATTTGTTAAATAAATTATAAAATTAAATTTCCAACAAATGTATGTGGAGAATGTGGCAAGTATTTTGGGAACCCTGAACCGCAGACGAAAACAGCGTCAAGCGAGGACCTGCTTCAAACCGAACGTCTGCATACCGATCGTTGGTTTTTTATAAGCGCTCGTCAGTGCACGCGGCTGTCTCTCTGTGTGTGTAACACCGCTTCAGTGTGGGTGGGCGCTCGTTCTCGCGCGCGCCGCACCATTGTTGTGTGCAGTAGACTCGCGACTCTCGGCCTGCCGCGGCCCGTTTCAAGCGCGCTCGCCGATACCGACTAAAATTGCCGGCGATAAACAAAATAATGACCAGTGTACCACATTACGTGCAACGCGAGTGCAACAAGCGACAACAGTGTGTGATAACAAGTATGTAACGTGCGTGTTGTGTCAAACGGTGTGCTTTTTCCGACTTGTTTTGGAGTTTAAGGGCGCGTGGACAGCGCAATGCACGTCGTGTTTAGGTATGTGCCAACCGATTAATTATGGCTCATCAGTGAGGGGTCGCTGGCCTGCAATTTCGCCAGAGATCGTTTAGTGTATTTTTATAATCAGTGACAGATTTCGCGTCGGTACGAAGCTACCACGGCGTGTGGCGGTCGTGCTATTTACATGGCTGTTTTCGTTTACATACAGAACTGGCTAGCGTCAACGTTTTCTAGTCACATCCGTCGTTCCTTGTGGTGTTTTATGTGCATTTGGCGCCGTCGGTACGTTATCAGTCGTCGGGAAGTGTGTCGAGTAATTTATAACGTAATTAATAATATATGTTATCGGTGCCGGTGTAGCTATGTAACGGCGTGAATTGTAAACTTTGCATCCATTTGTAATCGTCTAAAATCATCAACACATGGCTTGTGCACCATATAAAAAAATAAATGCACGCCACCACACTGCGCTTGCTATTGGTCACTGATGCAAATGCCTCACTCGTAAAAAAAGTAATAAAAACATTTCATAAAGTATCGTGTCCATCTTACAGTTTCATAACGCAGATAAAAATTGTGTACCCAATTCAGAAACTTCAGTTTCTGTTACGTTTAGTTTCATGTTTACAATTAGGTATAGTAACTTACTAAAAGTTGACATTTCAAAACTTAAGTTTTATCAATATACGTTCCAAAACATGTTAAAGGCAAACCAAACTAGTAATGAGACATATATAATGTATGTTTACGAGTGCAATAAAACTTTATTATCGATTCTTGTATAAACATAAAAACATTTAGTTTACCTTTTAGTTGAAAATTTATCTAACTGGTTACGAATCTTACGTAGACATTTTTTCTTCCAAACTATTTTATGGCATTCCGTTTCTTACTACACGCTTTCAACTACTATTAGTTATTTATATTTATCCATTAGCATGAAATTAGAAATAACTAATTAATACATTAAAAATAAGCATTAGCAAATTATACGAGCAATTACATAAAAAGATATATTAATGTATTGCTTAAACTTTGGTAGGTACCGAATGTAGAAACGAAACTTTTTTTATGTATTTCTTGGCTATTTTATTAAGTATAATTACTTAATATTTGCATTTACATTACATTTATTCCTTTAAGTCCTAAAAAGTCCGATGTCTATTAATTAACTTTACTCATGTCCGTCGGAATGATTGAAATGTTCATTACAATACTGAAATGACAACTGAGCAGGAACAGAGTTGATAATTGTACTGCCATTTATTTTTTATTGTCATTGGAACCCTAATAAACAACAAAATGGCCCAGCAAATGTGTACAGATGCACCTGCCTAATAAAAAGTGAGATGTCCATAATAGAGGAAAATGTAGTTTATGGTAAAAAGATGATACATATTACAACATTATTTCAAGTTTTATATAAACATAATTATATAAACTACTTCATAGGTACCTCTATGCAACGTCATTATTTATAATTAACCTTTGTTTAGTATTATAAAAATAGAACACCATAGAAAAAAAAAAACATATAACACTTCTTCTCTCGTTCCAAAGAGTTTGTTCATTTCTTATTGCAAGGGCCCGTAAGCAAGTAAAGAACCGAATTATTCATAACTCTTTCCGTTTCAGAAAAAAAAGTTCTTTTAACTTAAGTATTCTTTTTTTATGTTTTATGGCGTGCAGTTAAATGCGACAACTCTGGGGTCATGAGCGGCCAGTTCGAATAATGAATTTTGTTGGTCCTTTTTTATAAGTTTGCCTTGGAAACAGATTACATGCTATATTATTTTTTCATACTTCATAATTTAGTGTATAAAAATTAATATATGTATAAAATAGTCATAGTATATTGAACACCCGGCAAGTTGTACGCGGGGAAAAAATTCAAACGCTTAATTCTCAGAAGCCAACAATCGTCTTATTTTAGTCGTTATCTCCAATGAATTATTCATAAAATCGCATTTCCTACGCTCCAAGAGTATTATTGGATCTAATTATTTTTTATTTGTTGTTATAAAATTAAATATGGACCTTGTCGCCGTTTAATCTTAGATTTTAATAGTTGAACGTCTCATGTCAAAACCGATTAAGAATCTGGCTAAAGTTTGTTTTAGCCAATGAAAATGCGTAAGTAATTGTCTAAATTCAACAATTCTTAAACACAGTGTACCTATAGAAGGTCTTTGCAAATAAATGCATATAATAAAAAAGTTAAACTCGGTACGTCTACATTGAAAGAACAGTTCTGTTATAGAAAAAGGGGGTGGGGTCTCTAAATGAACAGATTTTCACGTAGTTTACAGAGATGAATAGTATATAATTTTCCACAATCATGGCATACAGCTCCTGCCAACCTCACCTGTAAGTTTTTACAAAATATAAAAAGACCTAATATATTTTGTGTACACCTAGAAAACCTTGATATTTTTGTAATTAGATGAATAAAAAATCTTTATATTTTGTAGAACAAAATCCAGTCGCATTTACTGAGACAACTATTAAACGCGTGCGGCTCGCTATGAGAACCTGCGCGAGAGTTGAGAATGTTAATGCGCTCGTGTTGTTCACAGGGCACACGCGGAATACTGAATGCGTTAACAAATATACTGTGTAACTAACCCACCATAAAATAAAATTTTCAATGGCGTTTTGCCGTAATTCAAATATTCACGACTTAAACGTGTCTGGTGTTAAACTCTTTAGTTACAACCTCATGGAGCTTAATAAATTGCATTTTAACAATAATTATTAAGTATTAAATGAAATGAAATATATAATACTTGCATTTGCCCCCGGTTTCGCCTGCGTGTATGTCGGTTATCACGGTAAAAACAAAAATCAAAGTATATCTATGCCAAATTTCATTAAAATCGGTTCAGCGGTTTAGCCGTGAAAACATAACTAGCGTTCATCCAGAGTTAGGAAGTAGCGATTGTAAAGGCTGTTTGATCTGTTTCTCGTCAGCAATGCTTTTTTTTGTATGAAAGGTACTTTATATTCTTTTCTGCCCCTCGGGCATCATGGCTTTAGAATTTCACAATGGTCGGTTCAGTAGTTATGTCGAAAAGCGTTACAAACAAACACACTGACTTTCGCATTTGTAATATTCTTTAAGGTGTAGATTTTTTTTGGTCAATAAGACTGCCAGTCGATATTCTTTTCTTTTGTTAACTCTCTTTAATTCTTTTACCTGTTTATTGTTAATTACAAAGCAATGGATAAGTCTGACTCCGTCTTTACCTAACTGTGTTATTTATCAAACCCTGGCTATAGAACACATCTATTATCAGATTTTATTATTACCAAGAATCATGTAAACCCAACAAGTTCTTGGCGTTTAAAAAAAATCTCATCTTAAATTTGTTGAGTGACTAAGTTAATGTTAAAAAAAAATACTGAACAACTTCTAGCATCAAAATTTGTAATAAAGTTTTGCCGCAAGTATTTGGCAATAAACCGATGCTAGTTATTTTATATTTAAATTAAGTTCTTACGAAAATTTGCATTTGTACTATTCATTACCCCACAAAAAATCAACAATGATATCAAAATTACAACAAAATGTTTATTAAATGGCCAATAAGCGCGGGATCTTTTACATTTCATTTCTATTCTTCGGAATTCAAATGATGCGTTCGTATAGTTTGTCATTGGAATTCAAATTGATTTCAACATGTCATCGAGGAGATTTCATGGTAGTTAATCTTAGTTTATGATTATCATACGAGCCACGTTCGTTCTTTGTTACCGGGTTAGATCATGTCATGTAACATCAATGTAAATACATAGCGGACTTTTAGATCGATTGTTTGTAGTGGAAATACGTTCGTCGTTTACATATACGATTTAACTAAGCCGTGTCACATTGGTGTTTAGTAATTTCAACACACATTTCCTTACCTATGTGAATTGAAAAAACTACAACTACTGCTATAAAGATGCATAAAACACATCACGATTTAGGGCAAAATAAAATTGCAAATGTTTTTACTTTTTAATCTTACATTGACACTTAAATTGTTTAAACCATAGACTTTAAAGATTTTAACCAATTGACAGCGATGACAGAACAAATCTATAATAATTGTACTAAAAAAAATACCGTAATTGAATATTTTAAGAAAAATAACATTTCAGATTCAGAGATTAACATTTTTATAATTTAATAGAAGATAATATACTTTATATATATAGAAATATTGACAGAGACAAAAATATAGAATAAGACACGTGTATAAATAAATACAATATGCTTCGCATATCGCCTTCATCCAATGTATAAAACCGTCGCTGCATACGCACTGCACCTATTTAACTTGTAGGTAGGTACATTATGGATTCAACGGTCACTTTTGATAAATTATCACTTTTTTATACACATGCGTTGTAAAATAACGGTCTTTATTTGAGGTCATTTTTTAAACAGATTAAACACCTTATTTATGTAAGAAGTATTTTTTGATTTTATTTGTTGCTTAAAGTCTTGGCATGCTTAATAGACCAATATATTAGACGATTAGCCATACTTTAGAACGAGATATTAACTATAGAGAAATTAGATTCCATGATGCATAATATGTATTATGGAATCTAATTTCTCTATAGATAATATCTCGTTCTTACTTTTTTAAATTCAATATATTATATTGAATTTAAAAAAGTAATACATATTTTATTTACATTATCTATTAGCGCAATATTGTTTTGAAGTATGAACCATTGGGTAAAATGAATACTGTAAAAATGGACTTTTAACACAACTGTGTCACATGATGTCTGCCTTCCGACATCCGTGTATCATTTGATCCAATCCAATTTTATTATTTATTGACGGCAATTCAGAATTTATGTGAATTTACGATACGTAGCATTTTATGTCATTCAAGTCAATCCTATCCGAATAGTAAAAAATATTTTACGAACGAAAAAAAACCGGATAAAATAAGCTGCGTGTTTATAGTTAAGTAAAACAGTATCTCTCAATTTAAGTCAGGATTACAAATTAGTAAAACTTCAAAGTTACAAACATT